GCTGAATTTGGTTTGCTAACACTTTGCTGAAGATTTTTTCATCTATATTCATAAGGGCTATTGGACTGAAGTTGTCTTTTCTTGGAATGTGTTTGTCTGGTTTTGGTATCAGGATAGTACTGGCCACATAGAATGAGTTTGGAAGTTTCCATTTCCTTTAGCTTTCTGGAAGAATTTGTATAGACTTGGTATTACTTCTTCCTTGAATCTTTGGTTGAATTCACCAATAAAGCCATCTGGGCCTGTAGTTTTCTTTGTAGGAAGGTTTTTAACCATAAATTCATTTTCTCTAATGGATACAGTGCTGTCCAGGTCACCTGTGTCTTCAGAGTGAGCTTTGGCCTGCTCTCTTCTCTCTGGTACTTTGTCCTATGAACTCTAGCTGCTTTGGTTTTCTGAGACTTTTCACTCTGTCTCCTCAACTTAAATTATCTGCCGGTATCCACCTCAGTTGCTGTCCCTGTGCTTAGGCCTGGTGACCTCGTAAGCCTCTGACCTGGGACAAGAGTAGAGCTCACCTCAATTGTTCTCCATCCCTTGGGCATCACTGTCCTACATTACCTGATGTCTAATGTCTTAAAAACCATTGTTTCGTGTATTTTTCTGCTAGTTTGTTTTTGCAGGCACTTGGGTATATTCTTATCCTGTTAGTCCAGGGAAGATGGAAAGATTTTTATACCATCACAATCTTTTTGGTAGTGGTGGGGCAGGGCACAAAAAACAAAACAAAACACAAACATTATCAAGTTTACAAGGATCCAAGAAATAAGCCGTCTTTGAAATTATTACTTATGATAAGCATCCTGCCATCATTTCAACAATGAAGCAAAACTAACTCAGAAATGAAGAAATGTTAAAGTAGACTGAAATAGAAGCATGAATGCCTGTGCCTATCTCACTAACTACCCAAAAGCTATGAAAATAGAGAAAGGATTAAATATCTTACAATCATGGGAGAATGGAAGGAGAAGCTGTTAGTGGAAAAGAAATTTTGTGCAGTTACTAGATGATAGAAAGCAGATGGAACTGAATCGAAATACAGTGAGTGAAGAAATCTATCACCCAGAACATACATAGGAAGAAACTAACCAGAAGGTAGGAACAGTTGCACATGATCTATAAACTCAGAGTGGAAAACTGATGGAGGCCCTAGGCACTTAACCAGGCTAATTGAAGATGCACATTTAGAACAGGCAGGCCTGTCAGTCCCCTTCCCTTATTAATTTTGCTCTGCTTTATTGCAACGTAATAGGTCAAGAACTGCACTGTAAAGAGAATGAACTATCTGATGTGATTTCTAGTTTGGGGTTATGCCCTAGAAAGAAGCATTGTGGAGTTTGAGGAAATCACAGAACACAGGCAGAGGAGGCAACTTGTAGAATCAGACATATACAAATGGAAAGGAAATTGAAGCCAGCTGCCTATAATAATCTGACCGATCTTTCATTCATAGAATGGAAAGCCAAGGACCCCCCGACATTTGGGGAAGCATAACAGCCAGAAGGAGAGAAACCAAGGTGAATAAACAGCTGAGCACAAAAGAAGGTTGATAGGAAGTGTAATGGGTTGAATTGTGTCCGCCACAAAAATGATACGTTGAAGTCCTAACTCCCAGCACTTCAGAATATTAAACCTTATTTGAAAATGCTGATGGTCTAGATGTAGTTAGTTAGGATGAGGTCATACCCAAGTAGGGGGGGCCCCTAATCCAATATGACTGGTGTCTTTGTAAGAAGACAACCGTGTAAATTCAGACACACACAGGGAGGAAGCCATGTGATGGTGGAGGCAGAGATGGGAATTATGCAGCCGCAAGCTAAGAAATGCCAGAGGTTTCCAGCAAGTCATAAGAAGCAAGTGAAGATTCATACTATGAGTTTCAGAGGGAGCAGGGTCCTGCTGTTGGATTTTGAAATTCTAGCTTCCAGAACCGCGAGGTAATACATTTCTGTTGTTTATGTCACCCAGTTTGTGGTACTTTGTTATGGCAACCCTAAGAAAATAATATTGGGAATAAAAGAGAATTTAATAATACTTAATGAAAACATAAAACAAATGTTCAAGTAACCCACAGGAAGGTTAAAAAAAGAGAGAGGGAATCAGAAAAATAAGAAACAGAGGAAATAAATAGAAGACAGTAAAATTGCATGTTGGACTTAAACCCTAGCATCTTTATATTTATCATAAAAATGTAAATGGTCTAAATGCACTAATTAAAAGACAGAGATGACTAGAATGGATAACAAAACATGGTCCAACAGTATGTTGTCTACAGAAATCTCACTTCAAATGTGATACAGGCAGGTTGAAAGTAAAAGCTTGAAAAGTATATACCGTGCAAATATTAATTTTTAAAAAGCAGGAGTGGCTGTCCTAATATAGATGTTAATTTCCTGATTGCGATCTTGTACTATAGTTATGCAAGATGTTTCCATTGGGGAAGTTGGGTGAAGTATGTGTGGTATCTCTTTGTATTGTTTCTTACAATGGTATATGAACCTGCAAATATCTCAAAATAAGATTTATTCACATGCAAAAGAATGAAGGTGGTCGCCTACTCATACCACATACAAAAATTAATTCAAAATGGATCAAGACCTTAATGTAAAAGCCGAAACTATAAAGTTCTTAAAAATCAATGTAAGAGCTAAAACTATAAAAATTCTCAGAAGAAGCTTAAATCTCAGGACCTTGAAATAGGCATTGTCTTAGGTTTGACACCAAAATCACAAGGAATAAAAGGAACAGATGGGGACTTCCCAGGGGTCCAGTGGTTAAGACATGGGAGTGTGGGTTCAATCCCTGGTCAGGGAGCTAAGATCCCACATGCCTTATGGCTAAAAACTCAAAAAAACATAAAATAGAAGCAGTGTTGTAACACATTCAATCAAGACTTTAAAAATGGTCCACATCAAAAAAATCTTTTAAAAAATGGATAAATTTGACTTCATCAAAGTAAAAAATATTTTGTGCTTCAAAGGACACTATCAAGGGACTTCCCTGGTGGTCCAGTGTCTGAGACTCAGTGCCCCCAGTGCACGGGGCCCAGGTTCGATTCCTGGTCAGGGAACTAGATCCCACATGCTGCAACTAGACCTGGCGCAGCCAAATAAATAAATAAATTTTTTTTTTAAAAAGGACACTATCAAGAAAGTGAAAAGGCAACCCACAGAATGGGAAAACATTTTTGAAAATCATATATCTGCTAAGGGATTTGTATTTAAAATATATAAAGAACACTTAGACTCAATTCTAAAAAGACATATGACCTATCTGAAAAAGTGGGCAAAGTATCTGAATAGACATTTCTCCAAAGACGATATGCAAATGGACAATAAGCACATGAAGAGATTTTCAACATCATTAGCCATCAGGGAAGTACAAATGAAAGACCACCACGAGTTACCACTCCACACACACTAGGATGACTGTAATTAAAAATATAGGCAATAACAAGTGTTGGTGAGGATGTGGGAAAACGGGAAACCTCATGCATTGCTGGTGCTTAATGACAGCTTTAGAAAACAGTCTGGCGGCTCCTCAGAAAGTTACACATAGGCATCCCTGGTGGCGCAGTGGTTGAGAGTCCGCCTGCCGATGCAGGGTACACGGGTTCGTGCCCGGTCCGGGAAGATCCCACATGCCGCGGAGCGGCTGGGCCCGTGAGCCATGGCCGCTGAGCCTGCGCGTCCGGAGCCTGTGCTCCGCAGCGGGAGAGACCACAGCAGTGAGAGGCCCGCTATGTGTATTTAAGAGAATTTGGACTTATAGAAAAATCTTAAAATGAAAAATCATCACCGGAAACATGCATGCCACTTCCCAGATTTAAAAAAAAAAAAAAAAAAGTTACCCATAGTGTTATCACATGACTTAGCACCTCCACTTCTAAGTATATACCCAAGAGAAACAAATGCTTGTCTGCACAAAAACGTTTGCACACATGTTCACAGCAGTGTTATTCATACTAGTCAAAAGGTGAAAACAACTCAGATGTCCATCAACTGATGAATGGATAAACAAAATGTGGTATATCCATACAGTGGAATATTACTACATAATAAAAAGAAATGAAATACTGATACATGCTACAGCATGGATGAATCTTGAGAACATGCTAAGCAAAAGAATCCAGTCAGATAGGGTCATATTTTGTATGATTTCAAGTATCTGAAATGTCCAGAATAGGCAAAGCCAGAGAGACAGAAAGCACATTAGCACTGGGCAGGGACTGGGGGTAGAGAGGAAGAGGTGACGTGAAGGTAACGGTTACAAGGTACAGGGTTTCTTTTTCAGGTAATGAAAAAATTCTAAAATTGGTTCTGTTGGTGGTTGCACCACTCTGAAAAATGCTAGAAACCATTGAATGGCAGATATATGTTAAATGACTGAATTGTATGTCACAGGAATTATAGCTCAACAAAGCTATTAGAAATAAAATAAAACTTTAAACATTAAAAAGTTAAAATGCTTATGGTATGATTATTATTTCATAATATACCTTTTAATACAGAAACAATGCTTTCTCTCTGCCTGTTTAGTCAATAATGATTTGGAAACAGACAAGTTCAAACTTGTCTGTTTCTTAATATCTTCCAGAAAGTGGATTTTCCTAAACAAGTTAAGTAATAAACAAGAATGTAAGGGTTGTGCCTCGGAAAAATCAAACTGTTTCCACACCTACAGATGCACATACACCTGTATGAATATATGCATATATACATATGCATATAAAATATATGTTGGTCCTTTGCTTGTCACAGGTCATTCATCACTATGGATTAAAGAAAGGACTGCAGGATTTCCTTCTGATTTTGTTCTGTTAGCCTTGTTTGAGTTACTGTATGCATTTTGAAAAAGATCCATTCAAAAAAATCCTCCTTTAATTAAACTTGGTGCTCAGACTTACATTTTATCCGTTATGCCAAATTTTACTGTGGTTCTTGAGGAATACCAACACCATCTTCAGTTAAGCTTAAGTCATCCAATTTATTAATTTTCAGCTTCCTAACGAGGATCCTGAAATTTTTGAAGTTTCATCCAAGTGTCTGTCTATACTGGTTCAGTTGTATGGAGGAGAAAACCCAGACAGCCTGTCTCCCGAAAATGCAGAGAATTTTGCTGATTTACTGACGTCCAAAGAGGACCCGAAGGAGCAGAAGCTTCTGTTGAGGATTCTCAGAAGAATGGTGAGTCCACACAGAAACTGGGGCTTGGGTGGGTGGCCTCAGTGGCAGCCAGTAGATGGGGAGTAGTCATTTTTTTCGACCTAGTTTCATTAAAGAACTCCCAGTTACCTTTTCCCATAGGCACCTACTGTTAACATTTATCATATTCTGCATATCTGTTTGCATATACAAGTATTTTTCTTGAACTGTGAGAGAGTAAGTTAGACACATTGTTCTTACTCCCTAGTATGTGAGTGTGTATTTCCTAATGAAATGGATGTTCTGTTACTTAACTACAGTTATCAAAACCAGGAAATTTAACATTGATACAAATCTTTTACTAATCTGCCATCTGTATTCCAGTTTTGTCAGCTGTCCCCATAATGTCCTTTATAGCTTGTTTTCTGGTGTAGAAACCAGTCCAGGATCATGTATTTTAGTAGATGTGTGTCCTTAATCTGGAATAGTTCTGCAGCCTTTCTTTGTCTTTCATGACATTTCTGAAGAATGGGCCAGATGTTTTGTAGACTTCAGTGTAGGTCTCTCTGATGTTTTCTGGACAGTTGGATTCAGGTAAGCCCCAGAAGAAATACTGTGTCCTTCTCAATCCATCAGATCCAGAGGCTTATGATGTCTGTTTGCCCTTTACTGGTGATGTTAATTTTGATCGCTTCATTAAATCAATGTGTTGTTATTTTTAAATTTTTTAATGGTTGCAAAAGGGAGATTTTCAAACTCGCAACGTTTCTAACCCCCAGTATGGTACTGTAGGAAAAATTTTCCCTTTCGCCCCATTTATTATTTATTTTATTTTATTTTATTTTATTTGTTGGCGGCGTTGGGTCTTCGTTACTGCACCGGGGCGTTCTCTAGTTGCGGCGAGCAGGGGCTACCCTTCATTGTGGTGCACGGGCTTCTCATTGTGGTGGCTTTTTTTGTTGCAGAGCACAGGGCTCTAGCCGCACGGGCTTCAGTAGCTGTGGCTCACGGGCTCTAGAGCGCAGGCTCAGTAGTTGTGGCTCGCAGGCTCTAGGGCACAGGTTCAGTAGTTGTGGCGCATGGCTTTAGCTGCTCCGCGGCATGTGGGATCTTCCCGGACCAGGGCTCGAACCTGTGTCCCCTGCATTGGCGGGCGGATTCTTAACCACTGAGCCACCAGGCAAGTCCATCGCCCCATTTTATTTTTAAAAATATAAATAGCTGATGTTTACTTGAAAGTACTTTTGAAGACTGACTTATTTTCTTTTTACAGTAGATCTTGTTCTGCTGCTTTCGAAGGCCATTATTTATAGCAGCTGTTGTTGAAGTTAGTCGAGGAGTGGAGGTCCCGTTAGTCTCTGTCGTGTTCTGGCTTGTCAGTCTGTGTTCACTTCTAGATCCAATTATCTTGAAGGGGTCCTTTGGCAGTGGAGGCTATGGATGCTCCAGAGAGTTGCCTTCAAGACAGTTTTTATGCTAGCTTGATAGACAGCTGCAGTCCGTGACCCAGCTAAATCTACAGAGCAGGTTATGGGTGACAGAACTAGAACAGAGATAGAGGGTTACCCTCCTCGCTGCTACATTATGCTTTTGTACAGCCAGACCTCCCAACCGCAGCAATGCTTCCTGTCTAGTGGAGTCATTCCCTGAGTAACTGGATGATGACACAATCTAAGTGAGCCTCCCAAAGTGTAGGATAAATACTTCTGGGGAAAGTAGATCTTGGGCATGGTATTCCAACCTAGCGCTAGATGGCCCTGAATCACATAGTAAGGCAAATATTTCCTCTTCCATTAAACAAAATGATCTTTCTGATGACTTAAGGTGCAAGTCTCAATTTGGTACTACTGTGTCTTTAACACCTCTCGAATCCTTCAGAATGTCCCTTTTTAACAGAGAGGAAGCCTCTCAGATGACTAGCTTTTTCAGTAGAGATAAGATATTTCTTTCAAAAAATAGTTTTGTTCATTTAAAAATGGTGAGTCAATGTGAAGTCAAGTACTAGAAAATATGGTAATATGAGTGATACGTACCTGTGGCAGAATCGTGTGTTTAGTACAGAATTACAAAGGCTTGGAGATATTGAGCTCACATCTGATACAATTAATTTTATAGAGATTCACCATCCCGTATTTGAAAATGTTAGGGCCAGATTTAGTTTGGAGTTTATAATTTCCAGATCTTTTTGGCATGGTGCTTATACTATATATGATATGACTCCATAGCAGTCACCTGAGGTGGTACCGTCGTCAAGCATGGTAATATTTCTGCTGCAAAGTGTATGAACATTCACACCAAGTGGGTTAATAAGAACTATATGTGACCCCACGTGGGTTAGGTCAGGTTTTGCCACCAAATATGTTTTTGAACCAAACTTAAGAAAAAAAGTTTTGATTTTAAGAGCTTTCTAGATTTTAGAATTGCAGAGAGATTATGGACCTATCTTTGGAATAAATTACATCATTTTAAAAAAACAGGTTAATTTAATCATGCAGGAAACAGTTAGACCCCAACTTGGTCAAAGTAACCAGATTACACCATCTTTTAGTTAATTTTACTGTCTGAAGTGATTTCCTTATAGATTCTGACCTGCCACATATAGGGCCAGGTAGGTTTTGTTGGTGGAAGAAAAGTTGGATCCAAGTGACTTTATCTGTGTATGTGAAAACAGAAGTAGTTTCTGGTTCTGCTCATCTGCTTGTTTTTTTTTTTTTAATTATAGTAAAGTAAACGTAATATAAAGTTTACCAGCCATCTGTGATAAGTGCTTTATAATCTTCTGAAAACTTGCTAAATTAGCCATGGATGGGTCAGTGTTGGGTTCAAGTGGTGCAAGACACACAATCAGGGATTCTGGGCCTTGAACTTGCCTATCCTGAGGCTCGGTTCTGCTTAAACTTAGTACTGAGTTCAGTACGTTTGGAGAGAAACAGCAGCAGATGACCCAGAGTTGTATGATGCCAGCGCCCACTCCAGACTGATGTGGTCCTTCCCCTCTCTCTCGCCATTTCCTGTCCTCACCTCCGTGGTTGCTGTTGTTTTGTAACTGTCAGCTTACCGTCTGTTCTCACCTTCACATTACCCTTGTTCAGGGTAGTGATGTGGTCTTTTTCAGCGTGTGATAGTGTCTAGCCCATGAAAGGTTGTCAGCAGATGATGTTTCTAACTGTGTTAAGGACTTGTGGTGAATTATCTCATTTAATCTTCACAGCTACCTTAGCTGTCAGCTCCAGTGATTGCTTCCATTTATAGGTTAAAAGCTAAGGCTCAAAGAGCTTACGTAACACTCCCAAGGCCACCAACTAGGACTCGGCAGAGCTGGGACCAGCCAAGCTGACCTGACCCTAGCTGGTGCTCCTGCCAAGTAGCTAGCCACCTTGCTGCTGCTCTGTCCAGGACTGATCTGGACTCTGAGGGCATTCGTTAAGCTGAACTTGACTGAATTTCGATCTAGAAGCACCAAAGAGATTCATTCTTTCATTCATGGGAAAATAATAGTTATTACTATGTGCATCCTCTACATTGGGGGAACTAAGGCAGTGAGATATGCTCTTCCTGCTGCCTGTCCTCAGGGATCCCTAACTGGAGCGAGAGAGAAACGCCAGCTTCATTATAAAGCAGAGTGCAGTCCGTGCCGTGCTGGAGGAGCCAGCAAAGTTCCACAGAAAGTTCCCCTTTGGGGAGGAGATTGGCCAGGACGTGGTGTTTGAGCAGTGTGTAGGATGTGTTGGTCATCACGCATGGACCAGCAAGAAGCACATCCTGAATAATGGCCCCAAAATCCACAGGGCTAGACTGACAGACATAAGAAATGGACCAGAAAAGGCCAGAGGGTACCAAACATTTGGAGTTTGGACACCGTTGTTAGAATTAGGAAGTTCTGCTCTCTGAAACCAAAGGACAGTGGTAGCATCTCAATTGAATTCAAGTTATGTTTACGGTGAAATAAAGCTTTCTCACAGCGCCTGGCATGTAATTGGTATTTAATAAGTATCCACTGAGCTGAGTAAGAAGTGTCTATAAAATCTCTACTTTTGTTACTGGCAGTTGTTCATTCTTGCTCTTCAGTGTATATTGTGAGCTCTTTTGAGTGCTTTGTAGATGCACAGGCCAGAATGAGAGGGACCTTAAAAGGCATTTAGTTGTTCCCCAGTCTGATGCTTCAGTCCCCTCCACACTATCCCTGCCCAGTTTCTTAGAAGGGGGTGAGATTGGATAGGTAGATGCATAGAGGATGGGAACCTGGGAGATAGAAAGAATGTGAGCAAAGATTTCCTGTGATTTTAAGGGGGCTGGCGTCTCAGGCTCTCCTCGATGGCCTGGCGGAGCCAGACTTGATAGAGAGGTAGGGAGCAATTTGGATTTGTTACCTGAATCAGTAATTGGATTAGGGAGGCTTGTTAAGTGCAGCCTTCTGATTGTAAGAAGTTAAGGAGGTAAAGACAAGCTCTTTAAGGACCTACCTCAAAGGACATTTATTAAGTGCACACTCCTTCTGGGAGCAATTCTTTTTTTCTTAATTGAGGCAAAACCGACATATAGCATTATATTATATTATTTTAGTAAAACTAAAAATAATAAAAGATATTTGTATATATTGCAAAATGATCACCACAGTAAGTCTAGCTAACATCCATTGCCATAAAGAGTTATACATTTTTTTCTAAGATTTATTTTCTTAGCAACTTTCAATTATACGATACAGTATTATTAACTATAGTCACCATACTGTACATCACATCCCAATGACTTATTTATTTTATAACTGGAAATTTGTACCTTTTAATCCCTTCACCCATTGTACCCACTCCCAACCCCTCACCACCAATCTATTGTCTGTATCTATGAGCTTGGCTTTTACTTTCCTTTTTTTTTTTTCCTTTTAAGATTCCACACAAAATTGAGATTATGTGGAATTTATCTTTCTCTGTCTGACTTATTTCACTTAGCATAATTCCCTCAAGGTCCATGCATGTTGTCACAAATGGCAAGATTTCTTTTCTTTCTTTTTTTTTTTTTTGCTTGCGGCAGGTGGGCTCCTT